CAGTTCCTCATGTTGTGCTGACCTCCCCCACCAGCCATAAAATTATTTTCATTGCTACTTCCTAACTATAATTTTGTTGCTGTTATGAATCATGATATAAATATCTGACACGCAGGATACCTGATATGTGACCCCCAAAGGGGTTGTGAGCCGCAGGTTGAGAACTGCTGAACTAGACGATTTGCCTCTGTTCTTTATCTGGAAAAACAATCTCTTTGTCTGGCCAGTTTCTATTCTTCCCGTCCTTTAAGGTGATTTCAGATGCTGTATCTTCACAGGAACTTCCTGACTCTATGGTCAAAGTTGGTTTCCTCTCACAGTCCTTCCGGGCAGTGTCGCTCCCTCAAACGCCCTGCACATTCAGCCTGCCTCAGCTCTTTCTGAGCAGGGCTGTCTCCTCTCAGAGCCTGTAGGTTTGAACTCAGCCTATCCATGGCGGGGTCTGTTGGACCATCACTGTCATTTTTGAGTTGTATTTCTTATTAAATCAAGTAGGCATAAGAACTCAGAAACTAAGCAAAGGTTGACAGGGTTCATTCAGTTCAAGCCCTTTTAAAGATGTCATACATGCATTATTACTTAATACACTTGAGTATTTGGTAAACACTTGAGTATTGTGAAGGGTTAGGGTTGCTTTTAAGCAGCCCAAGGTTCAAGTTCAAAGGATCTCATTTATAATGGTGTGATGGGTAATCTTCCTGTCAGCTTGACTGGATTTGAAATCATTTAGAATACGCCTCTGGGTATGTCTAGAAGGGAATTTCCTGAAAGGTTTACCTGAGGAGGGATAGACCCACTCTGATTGTATGGAGAGCCTCATCCCATGGTCTCACACAAAATGGGACAAGTCAGGAGGGCAGTGGAGCACCAGCATTCATTTCTCTCTGATCAACTACCCAACGGTCTCACCAACTCCGCCACTGTGATGGATTTCATCCCTTAAACTGTGAGGGAAAAATAGAAGAACCCACAAGAATCCCAAACTCAAATGACCAAAAGGACCAAAGCAAAATCCTTTTTTCTTTAAGTTGCTTTTGTGACAATGGCAAGAAACCTAACTAACACAAGAATCTTGAGACAGGGACAGCACAAACATCTTTAACTATGACCAGTGACTTCTGCGAGACCAGTGACAAAGGAAGCACAGGAGTGAAGTGCGTTGGTCCATGTCACAGAGGGTCTTCTACTGGGACTTGGAGGAGTGCCCATTCACACAGTAAAGGTGCCTAGCACGGTTCACAACAAAGGAAGCGCTCATAAAGAGACAGGAGAGAGTAGATTCAGCTTTCCTTCCTTCCTTTGCTGTCCCAAGTTTATAGGATGTTGATGTCTGGATGCCTCAGTTTCTTCCAATGTAAAGTAAGAGCCTGATATTCTTAGACTGCATGAGATGGCAAAATTACTGTGATCATGAAATATTCAGCATGAAGTGTAAACAATAATTAGTCAGGAAAAGCATGGCCACTAAAAGAGAACTTCAATTTCTAAGACACAAAGTGACCTAGAGTTTCTCTGGATGTGTCTAAACAGCTTTCATTAAATCTTTATTTTAGAACCATTGTACACAGGACTTTCTTTGTGGCGAGTCGGAGAGTTGTTCCAACTCACCATCGATGGCTGTTGAAAGGAGAGAGTAATGTAACTGATTGCAAAGTGCTTCCTAAAATCCAGGAATTATACAATAATAATAGTAATCGTGTGTGACTAAAAGTATTTCCATCTTAGCCGTTTTAAGTAATACACTTTCTCTTTACTTAAGTCTCTCTTTACCCTCTAAATAATGCATTACCCCTTGCATTTACAATTGCCTGGACTTCTTTTTTTCGTGTTTTAAATTAGGCTCCGGCATGCCCACATGAGCTAACACCCTTCACTCCAAGAATAATGCCAGGCAAACTTTAACAACAGGCTTGCAGATTTATGGTCTGGGCTTCAAGGTGGAAAGTCAGCTGCCCAGCAATTCAGGGAAAGAATGCCCACACCTCATTTCTTCATTCAGATGAATTCAACAAATATTTCTTGAGCATAAAGCCAGAGCCAGGCAATGTGTTACAAATACGGTACACCTTAGATGGCCACACAGACTTGGAAACTAATCACTGTAATACGGGTCATAAAAGTTTTATTGAGGATCTGCAGAAGGTATCTCAGTAACATACAGTGTGGAATTACCAACTCCGTTCTGGGAGGAGGGGCACAGGCCATGTCTTGGTTTGTTTAGTGGCAGATAACTGAGTTCCTTGTACCTTGTTCAAACAGAAGCAGAGTTCAATGTTTGCTGAATTGTTGAAGCGAGTCTTGTATACTGCTTCCAGAAATAAGTTCACAACAACACATCTAGCTCCCTATGGCGGTTGCTGCTCTTCGGATGACCAGAAACTTAGAGACACCAGAGTGCAGGCACAGATTATATTCCCTCAAGTGAAATCCATACTACCCCATTGAATAACTACCATATAGTCCTGATTTCTCCATGAAGCTGAGGTCTGGATCCTCCTGCAGCAAAACCCAATGCTTCCGTCACCATGTTTGAAGCAAACGAATGGCTAACCCTCATGTCCTGTTTTATCCCTTTGGTCTGCCTTGTCAAAGCTAGTAGACCTGGTAGAACCCAAGTTCTGAAGAAATCTGGCAGATGGTGGTCTTCAGCATCAGGTCCCTAGCTGCTAGGAATCTCGGATTTCAAAGGGTGAGCTGTATGTCACAAAGCCAGTCTCTCACCTATAACTTCAAGGCTTTAAGACAAAGAGCTGCCCAGTCTAGGACTTTAGGGCCTAGGACAGATCCACTGGAGTGCATTTAAGCAGGGACAGCTATGCTCCTAATGCCGTGACACAAGCACAGTATGTCCAGATTAAATTTAAGACATTGAAATGGTAGTACAAATGGAAAATTAGGAACAGTAGGTGAGGAAAGAAAGGGTGGCTGATTTTTGGAAGGCCTGGGACTTACAATATGAACTTGCAAGTGGTAGAGAGATACAGAGAGATCTTAAGATGTAAGTTTGTATGTGCTCACCATGTATATGAGCAGGAAAGGGATTAGATTTTTTAAAAGATTTACTTACTTATTGTGTGTACATTGCCCCCCCCCCGGGGTGTGTATCCATGAATGCACCATGATACCTGTGGAAGTCCAGTAACATTTGGGGTTGGTTTTCTCCTTCCACTGTGGTTTCAGGGATTGAACTTGGGTCATCAGGCTTGAGGGCAAGTGCTCTTAGCCACTGATTCATCGTGCCAGCCCTTCCTGGATGGTTATTACCACCGTGTACTGATAAATGCTTGGCAAGGTAGTCTCTGGAATAGAAGACACCCAAACCTGTCACTTATACCCATTGCCTGTGGTCTGAATGTTTTCATCTTGGTCCATCTCAAGCTGTTATCCCTGAGAGTGGTGTTGTAAGGAGGTGCACACAGCAGGCTCTTCTGTGAGATTCAGAGAGGTTCATTTCACTAGAAATGCCAGGGAGATAAGTGTTTTGCCCAAGGTTACCCAGTAAATCAGTGGCTAGCACCTGATCAATGTTTTAAATACATGTCTACCAATTTTTAATATTCTTTCTCAAAGACTTTGTGGCAACTGGCTTGGTGATGTGGCCAGTTCTCTGTTTCAGAATGTTTCCCCTTCACCCCCCTGCCATGAGTAGAGAGTTAGGGGTGGGTGGATAATACAGCATGAAAGAGTTCTAGGCCACCACATAAATGAGTGGGTATGGAGGTATTCTAGGAAATGGAATTACGGAAGCAGGTGGCAGGCCTTAGAGCACAGAGGTGGGTTGGAGAGAGGAAGCTCAGAGGTAAATGAGATGCTATAGATGTCTGTGGGTGAGACTGAGGGGAACTCGTGCCTTGGATGAACCTAGCTGTGCCTACAGTACCAGGAAGTATGAGCATGCTGGAGAACTGCTGCTCAGAGTCTACAGAATACATACGGCGCATGCGTGCTGATGGAGTTTAAATGGAAAGTTGATGGCCACGTCCAGATTTCTGCCTTGTAGCTGTGGGTGTGGTAGTACCATTGTCTGTCACAGAATCCTAGGGACGGGTGTTTTTAGAGAGAGCTTGAATATGAGTTTAAAGGGCTTGTGGGTCATTACTGTCCAGGATAAAAAAGCAGGACTGTTCAGAATAAGACATGAGTTAAAACAGCGAGCTGACACAGCAGGGAGATTAATGTAACCTTGGCTGAACTTGTCAGGTCCACGAACTTGCTAGGAACATGGAAAGGGCTGAAAATATGCTTGGGACCTCTCAAGAGATAGTGATGATTGTTGAAGATGTTGAAGATGACCTTCTGTAGATAACGTGAGAGTGATTCTAAAATTAAATTCTAGAATTCTAGAATTAAAGAGGTAATCGGTGTTGAATGATGTCGTGGCTACCATGATGGGCAGCTTTGATCTCCCTCCACAAAAGAATGACTTTCTCAGCTGCTGTAAAAACATTTAACCAAAGATGGACCCAGGTGCCAAGTCCCAGCCAAAGAAAACTACCTGATCCTTTCTCTTCTCTGTGGTAGCTATGAGGCATAAAAGCCAGCTAAGTCATTCTGGCCTGGGGAAGCTGTGAGTGTCTACTGTTCTCCAGAGTTCCCAGTGGACTTGGCTAGTGTCAGTACCAGGAGCACACTGCAGTTCAGCTTCTCTCTCTCCAGTCTTGTCTGCATGCAGCAGATAGATGCCCCTTTGTCCTGTTGCTGTTCTTGGAGCTACTCAGCTATTAGAGCATTGGTTGTCAAAGCCATGAGTGTTGGCCCCACTGACAAACCTTTTGTTTCCAAAAAAGATTTATATTATGATACATAACACTAGCAAAATTACAGTTATAAAGTCGTATGAAATAATTGTATGGTTGGAGGTCACCACAACATGAGGAACTGCATTACTGGATCGCAGCATAGGAAGGTTGAGAACCATTGTATTGGATGTTGCTGCTGCCATAGGGGAGCAAGTCTACCTAATTGTTCATCAGATTCCCAAACAAATAAAGATACTGATATCTCACTGACTGAATAAAGCTTTATTTTAATGCAAAATAAATCATGAAAAATTCATATACTCATATACAATAACATCCAAAATGTCTTCAGTGATATAAATGGGATTATCTTAAAAAGTTTGTCAAGAATGCACTCTCCATCCTCATATGCCAAACTATGATTTCACATAATTTATCTTTATAACGTATGAACAGATGACTTGATAATCATAAAAGAACAGGAAAGACTAGAGAAAGTAAGGGTATAAACAACAGGTTTTGTTTTATGTTCCAGTAGTAAATAGCTTTGCAGATGGAACGGAACACTTTGTGAAGAGCAGATCAAGAGATGGGTTCAAAGAGTCTTTGGGAATGGTTCCCTTCCCATTCTGAGCTCAGTAGCCAAACCCAACTTTTAAAAGCCAGGCTGTGGGCAATTGCATGACTATTTAAGGACAGGAGGGAGAGTTGCACTTGGAAGCCACAGTTGCATGTGAGAGTACTTACTGGCTTATTTTAGATCTCTAACTATGTTTCATCCTTTTTATCGGAAAGGTGACTTTGTAGGGATATCTTATGAAGATTTTCTGTCTCACTGTAGCCTTGTTCTACCCAAAGTTGGCATGAACTGAGAGAGCAGAGAAATACTATATGGACTTTTCTGAATGGAACACCCTCCTGCCTAATTGCATAAAACTTGGGCATTCTGTTCACATGGACCCAGGAAGCAGTGGATATCTATCCAACTTAACGCGAGCTCGAAAGCTGCTCACGGTGGGTCTCAGTGTTCAGTGCTGATGGGAATTTTCATCCCCCCCCATCAACCACTTTTCAATTTCTTTCACGGGCCTGAAATTCTATAACATTGCTCAAACACTAAACAGAAAACAAACAAAAACAAGTGGAGTTGATTTCCAGTGAGGGGGAAAGTAATTACTCTTTTTAGGTTTGGTCTCTCTGTGGACCAGGGAACAGAGAAAACAGCTCTCTGCTCTTCTTGAAGTTGCAGGAGGATTTCCTTCATAAGGTAGGTATAGCTTTAAAAAAAATCAAGGCAGTGGGTCTTATTTTAATTTTATTCTTTCGGTAGCAGAAATAAGGCTCCATAAAGCCTCCAAGGCGGTGCTTTTCTACGATGCTATTGAATACATCAGGCTTTTGCTCCATGTGGTCCTGTGGGCTCCACATAGATGTCCTGAAAGTTGAAGAATAATGAGTTTCGGAAATTCTTTTTCTAAGCTTTGTTTGCTGCAAAATCATGATTGAAGCAAATGTTCCTTTTTTTGCCCACTGACTTAGCCCTGTGGGGAAACAGTATTAAGCCAACAGGGATGGCGCCTCAGCTGAGGGGTGTGATGGACCAATGAGGCCTGTTTCTCTCTCTTGTAGAAGGCTGAATTCTCTAGGGACTAAAGGTTTTCAAGTGGGTCTCCTCTCTCAGATCTTTCTGTTCATACAAAAAGTGGGTGGAGAAGGTGGTGAGGAGAGGGCTCATGAGGCTGGATGGCCTAGGTTTGTAGCTATTGTTAAAAAATAAAAACAAAAACCTTTCTCTCTGTTAGAGTTCCCAACTACAGAGAGACACCGCAGTGAGTTTTCCCAAGGCTGTAAATATACTAGTTGCTATTCCCATCTCCTGGGGACCTGCTGATCATAGCCTGGACTTCCAGATAACTACATGCTTTCCCTGACCCTGGAAAATGGTGTTACAACAGTGGAGGGGAGACAGTTGGAAGGATGTCACACAGGCATTGATAAAGCTTACTGCCTCAGCTGGTCTTAACCACTGCTTGGCTTGATGCAGCCTCTGTCACAAATATAATGTTAGTTCTTTAGGGCAGAATCAGAAGCAGTGAGTGCTATACTTTAAGCAAGAACTGAAAGCTGTTACCATCTATTTTTTGTTCTCTTTAATAATACCTTTGGACCTCTGTGGGTTTCTTAGGATTAGCAACTATTGCATTGACTGTGTACAACACAAAGCCAAGGTCTGGAGAAGCTTTTCGGAAGCTTGCATGTAGGGGTGCTGTGCGCTCAGGGTGAATGTGCTGGAAACATGAGCAGAGCAGTCATCCTCAAGTGCCAATCCCTCTTCGGCACACCACTGTCATCTACCCCTGGCCAGTCTGCAAGTGGCCCAGCCTCCTCACAAGGGTAAACTTGTACCTTGGATAAAATTAATGGTTTACAGAAATTTGAGTAAAATATAGAACACACTGAAGAATATTTAAAAAAAAAACAAGATCTTGTTATAGGATCTTAAATTTATCCTATAGTCTAGGCTAGCCTGAACCTGGAAGCCTTCCTGCCTTGGCTTCCTGATTACTGGGATTCTAGGCATGCAGTACCATTCCTGGCTCAAGAGTTGATTTAATGCCCCTCCACCCTGAATTGCATTTTACCTCATTGTAATGTTTTTCTTTCAAAATTCCTTGGCTCAAAAGAAAGACCATTTCCAGCATGGTGGCCACGGGCCCTACAGTGTGGCCACAAGAGCTTGTTGAGCAGAGCCTGGGATCGTCTACTCCATGAACAAGTTACATGGGATAAGGCTGCTGGCTGAAGAGAGGTGCTGGAGGACAGAAGGCAGCTTGACAGTCTGTTATTCAGATGGCCACAGTAATTGTGGTTTAGAGAACGATCTCTGCTAAGTCCAGCAAACGACGCTATTTACGTGGAAAACCAGCAGTTGCATCATTCCTGGTCACAAAGATACTTCAAATTAAAAAAAAGAAAAACAATCGGCCAAATGGCTACTCTATGGATTCTAGAACACTACAGTTCAGTAAAACCGGCTGGTCAGTGGCATTCTACGCTCAGCCAAAATATGTCTATACTGAACTAAAGACTTTTTGGAGGGGCTGGGTGAAGAAGTAATGTGAAAAGTTTAAAGTACGTTATCAGTTGTTGAGAAATCCAGAACACCGGGCTTTTTCTGCTGTTTCTCAGTCTTGTGCACGTGTTCCCGTTTGGGTCACACAGGAAGCTTCAGATGCTGTGTTATATAAGAAAGCTCAAAGGAAGCAACGATGGCTTTTCAGCTTCTTAAGCCAGAATACATTTTTTTCTTTTAAATCAGGTGGAGACCTTAGCTTTGCCCTGACATTTGTTAATGAGATAGAGCAGATGCGGACTGATTTAATCTTACCATCTTCTCCCTTCACTTCCCCTGCCTGACTCCTTCCGCATTAAACATCCAGGAGGCAATTTTCTCTTCTCTTCTCCATACTGGTAATCACATGTGTTTGAACACACACACACACACACACACACACACACACACACACACACACACAGAGAGACAGACAGACAGACACACACACACACATCCATCTACTTGCTGTCCCAGGGGCAGATCGATACTGTTTGGCACTCTGTCTGGAACTGACATCCATCCCATCCCTAGGACATTGCTTTCTCTGTGGCCTGACCAGCAGACTCTGTTTTCTTTACCCACCCTACTCACATGAACAAGTTACAAGCCCTTTAAGTGGAAGTCTAAAATAACTATGGGCATTTGAGGAGGGCTCTGAAAGGAGCTATCTCCAAGCAAGCAAGCCAGGGACTGGGAGGGAGGAAAGCAAGGACCATGGGACAATCAACCTTCTTCATCTGTTCACTGTGGTTCTTGGAATGAACTCCCTTCTGGAAGCTCTGACCAGCTCACATCCTCCCAGATGCTAATACTGCATTCAAATTCAAATTACTGTCTTTTATATCAAAAGCAAGGAAGTGCGAAGGGCTCCTATCAAACAAGTACCAGGAACCCAAGCTCAACTGTAAATAAGGAAATACAGTCTTCCTTTGGGTCTAAGGTTTCCAAGAGGTCACTAGTCATGTATGCAGTTGCTTTGTTCTCAGTGAAATCATTGTGCTTTTGAAGATACGTATTTGCAGCCTCTCTGCTCTGCCAGTCGGTAGGTCTCATACCTCCAAGGACAGGGCTAAGTCTCTGAATGGGTGACTAGGCTTGACAGAGAGAGACCTTTACCTCTATGCTGTTGCTTCTTCTATGTGTGTGGTGGGGGTAGGGTTGTACGTAGCACTGGTTTGCTAGCCAGGGGCTACTATAGTGCAGCTCCACTGATTGGTAATCAATTGTCATTCTCACTGAATCAATCAATTCTGCAAGCCTTTCAAGTATCAGAAAGTACTATTTTTATGACCACATCCTTCTTCCTTTTTGAATCCACATCCCCAAGCCCCTTTACCCCACTTTCTCCTCTGATTAGCAGTTACACCATGCATCCTCAGGAAGCAAGAGCCACTCTGTACACCTTAGCCTGGAGAAGGCCTTAGGTTCTAGCAACGGCAAAGATGGTGTTGGATGTCTTCCTTGCTTGGCAGATCTCTGTGATGTTCAGCTATACTGCTGCAGTCATGGGATTCTTCTGCCTGGGATCCTGGTTACGATAGGGGTACTGGTCAGGGCTGCCCCCTCGGGGTCCTGCTCTGCTCATCTCCTGGTAGACTGGTACTCGCTGGTGCTGAGGTGGTGAAGGAGGAACATCTTGTCTGAAGGGTCCTTTGTGCTGATGGGCTGGTGGGGGTGGGTAGTACTGTGGGTATCGTAGATCTGTTACCCTCAGATCCGGGGGCCTGGGATAGCTCCCTCTTGGGGGATGTACAGGATGAGGCCCTGGGTAGTACGGAAGCTCTCTTTCATTGTAGCGCCCTCGGGGTGAAGCTGTCAGGTAGTCCACAGGATCTGCTGAGCCTCCCCTAGAAAGAAAAGCAGAGATATGTGTCAGGAGCTACGGAGCTGCTACTCTCAGCTGAAGAGCGCCTGTTTCTGCCTTGACTGCAGTTGGCTGTGACCACACCCTTGGCCTGGATAAGGATATATTAAAAGATGTGATGTGTACCCTTAAACACTGGGAGAGAGGATCCTCTTCTTTGCCATCTTAGACTTCAAGGTGAAAACCATGGGCCGAGGAAGGGCAACCAGGATGCAAGAACTCAAGCCCTTGGCACCACAAGTCACTATGTAACCAGGACTGCTTAGGACACATTGTGACATGAGAAGAAACATGTTCCTATGTTGCGTATGTCCTTTTATATATTTGCTTTTATTACAGCTCAGTTAAGCCTGTGACTGTTAGAGCCCCAGTCTGTGTGAGCTATGGTAGCACAAATACTCCGGGTCAGAGTCCTCATAAAGTGTACTAATTTCCCTCCAAGATGACAGAGGTGCTCACTGAAGGCTGTGGGTGGCCTTGGCTAAGCCTGGGTGGCTGCTGTCACACCCGTCGATAGATTACTATGCCTCCCCACTACTGTTCCTAGAAGACCTCTCAACTTGGGGCTGGGAAACTCCTCACCTGGAACTGTGATAAAAGTAATTAAGTCTACCACAAAGTCAGTAGCAAAAACCAAGTTGCCCTGTGTAATGGGCAGGCATGCAGAAAGGTTTGGGGCCAGAACGCACACTAATGGGAAACAAGCCTGTCTGGAACTTTCTACTGAAGACAAGTATCGCCTGATCTGCCCACCATAACAGAAACAATGTGCAGATGATGGCATCTTGGCTAGCCTGGAGTGAGACACATGACTTCTGTTTGCAGCTCTTAAAATCCCATGAACCTTCTGTGCACACATTCGCCAGTACCATTCACCACGTCACCAGATCCGTCCGTTCTTTATTCCTCTGCTCTTTAGGATTTTTTTTTTTTTTTAAGGAGAAACAGAAACAATAATGATTACTGCAAAGCTCTCCAATGGCTTGGATACTTTAAAGAAATGACAGGGCTGTAAGAACACCGTGCCTGTGGTTAATCAGGCACTGTCAATGAGGGTCAAAATCACCCTGTAATCTGTGGAGTTGGATGGTAAAACAGCCCTGAACATTCCCCAAATCAATGAAGATTTGACAAGCTCTGAGCTCAGGGAGCATGCGGAAAGCTGCCTGTGAACACAGCCATAAGGACGAGCAATACAATCCTCCATTTACACTTATCTGTGTGTGCGTGTGCCCTAATTTTGCTATGTATAATAATGAATGATAGATTCATGAATCTGGGGGTGATTTAGTTAGTGAGAGTTTTCAGATAAAAAATTAAACTGTTTCCGTACAAGTTATTTATAGCATCAGCTGTTATTGTTCAGTCCGGGCCGCTTTGCTCTATGCTAAATTGCCCATGACAAATAGAGCAGACATACATCGCCAATCATCTGTCACCATGGTCCTGCGAAATAAAGGACCCAGGTTTCACCATCCCTTTCCTTGACAATTGCATTTTTTATTTAGAAAGTTTCCAGCATTCATTGTATCTTTTATTGTTAAAAAAAAATTAAAGACCTCTTCTTTTGGCCACTGTGCCCATTGCTGTTTCCTTTGGCTCCACCTGGAGATTGCAGAAACCCTTTAAAAACATCCTTAACCTGTGTTTCCTTTCAAAAGCTACCAGAGGTATTTCTCTGCATGAAGTGAAACATGTGGTCTCTCTGCACACGTTTTATGTCCTTAGGATAAATCACTGACATTTGCAACACACAAACATTATCTACCTTAAAATGAACATACAACCAACGCTCCCCCTGGACTCTTAGCAGGAATGTTTCCTGTTTAAAATGGAAAGAGAGAAAGGAGAAATTCCAGGCCTTGGACTTTTTTTTTTTTTTTTTTAGGGTCCTGGTCTCTCTCTTAAGATTTCAACCTTTTAAAACAGAACATTATAAAAGACAGAAGTCTTTGGGGGGTTTTCTCTCCTTCTCTTTTTTTAAGTTGTGGAGAGACAATCCAGAGCGAGTGGTGACGGGATAGAAGCCACCCTGAGCAACTTGCAACCCTGAGTGACTCCACAGTGTACATGCAGGGCCAGAAAGGAGGTTATCTCTCCACCCACACCTCAGCCTGGGATTCTCCAGAATTCACTGCAAAGAGGAGAGAGGGAGGGTTCCAAGGGCAGAGAGGGTGACCCCAAGATAGCATCATGTTCCCAGAGGGCTTCTCTGGGGGTGGATTATATGCTGGGGAATTTGCTTACATGTGGCAGACACCAAGTGAGGGGCTGCTCTTTGTCAAGCAGTGGTGGCATGGAAATTGTCTTTTTCTGTAGAACTCATCATAAGAGTTATTGTTTGTAATTTTTCAGGGAGAAGAAAAACAATGAGTTGCCTGTAAAAATACTATTGAAAGTTCAGAGACCTCCAGGCGCCTTTTCCTCCCAGGGCTGCTGTTCATAACATTTCCCCCTTAAAGCCTAGCATTTCCTTCAGACTTTCACCAGAACAACTTCTAAATTATTGTGAATATTATCACAGGGACACGCTCATATAAATATGTAAAAGAACCACTTCTGGAGACTAGAGAGACGGCTCGATGGCTAAGGATGCTCTTGCAGAGGATTAGGGTTCTTTTCCTAGAACCCACATGGAGAGGCTAACATCCTCTTGTAAGTCTGCCTCCATGGAATCTAGCTACACTCATGTCACAAGCATGTGCATGCACGCACACACACACACACACACACTTACTTTAAAAACAAAGCAATTTTTAAGTAGGAAATAAAAAAAGAAAGCCTCCTATATGAGTTGCTTTTTTTCCTGCTGTACAGACAAGATGTCTGGGATAGGAGCAACTTAAGTGGGGAAAAGTTCATTCTGACTCTCAGTCTCAAAAGGAACAGTCATCCTGATGCACAGAGAAAGCAGGTGGAGTAACCTCATGAACTGGAGTATGTGGCTAAGTGCTCATGCAGACGCAGGGAACCAGAACTGGACATCACCTTCAAGACCCACCCCTAGGCAATCCATTTACTTTCAGAAAGGTTACATGGACCAAAGATTTCACAACTTCCCCATACAGTGCATCAGCTAGTGACCATTTTTTTTTAACTCAATGAGTCTGTGAGGGAAAACTTGGTTTAATTTTCTGTTTTCCCAGTGAGTAAGCTCATTTCTGGAAGCCAGAGGATTTAGGTTTAGCTTGGAAACTCATAGGAATGATTTTAGATATGTCTGAAATCACACAGATGTATGCAACAGTGCAAATAATGAACGCTGACCATTGTTTCCAAAAAACCCGACAAAGTCACAGGTTATTTACATGTAAAGAAACAAATAGATTTCAAGAGGACTTTGTCTTTGTGACACCTTACCATGTCACTAGTTCTCATTAGCAAAAGGGACCTGGGGAGGAGCGCCTGTGCTAGGCCCTGGATGCCAGCCATCATCATATATATAGAGATGGAAGCTATGTTCCTGTTTGGTTAAACAGTCATGCTTGGGAAGGGGGTGATATCGGAAGGACAGAATCCCTACAACGCTATTCTCACTGTATTATCACTAGAGTAGAGAAGGTGCAAGGGTGAGGGAAAGCCCTCCCGCCTGCGTACCAGACATGCAGAGACAATCTCCATCCTTCGTGTTGGCCCTCGTTAGTCATCTGTTCTGCCTTTGTCTTGGCTTCATGGTACTCATACCCTGCATGGGAGTGGAGCTCTTGGAAGTGGGCACTGACTCTTTCATGCCTCTGCCCTCTCTCTCCCTTGGGGCTTTGTGTCTCACAGGCGCCCCATAAATCCATACTGAGGTGTTTTGAGGGAAAATACACAAATGTACACAGTAACTAAAGAGTGTTAGATGTTGTTAGGGGCTGGACGACAGCAGAGAAATACAAGGAAAGAGTAGATTCAGTGGGACTCAGAGATGGACAATGGTTGAAGTAAAACCCATTTCTAGTTTTTCCAGAGGAAAGAAAGAGGGAATGAGTTAAGTACTGGATTGGGTTCAACATAGAAAGACTATAAAGTTTACTAGAGTTTTCCAGGCACAACAGGGCAGATGTACATATGAACTCACAGTGGCAGCAACAACACGCACAAGACCCATGCAAGCTCCAGCCAGTCACAGTCCCAGCATAGAGGAAGCAAGGTGGGCACGAAATCCTACCACTACCTGAAAAGCTACTGGTATTTTATGAGTGCTAGGATAGGGAGAGTCAGCTTTCTTTAATGATAGGAGCCCTAGTAGCAGCAGGGCTGGACTCATCCTCAGAGTAGTTGGGACAACCCAAATTAGACTCTGTGGGGAACAGAAAAGAAAAAAAAGAAAGAAAGAAAAGAAGGAAGGAGAAGAAGAGGAAGAGGAAGAAGAAAGTTCAAAGCTGGGTGGGAAGGGATGAGAACATGGAGAAGCCAATGAGAGGAGTTGGTGGGGTGGAGATGTTCAAAATACATTGTATGAAATCCTCAAAGAATTAATTAAAATATGTTTTTAAAGTGAACTATAGACTGAATTTACTAGGAATAGGTTATATATATTTAAAAATCAGTTAATACTTTCACAATTGTCTGGCAAGGAAATTTTCTTTATTGCTGTCATAAACACAGTAATGTAGGAACATTTTGATTCATGTCTAGAAATACAGTCCAGTAAAAGGCTCCAGATAGAGGACATGAGGGAGACTGTTGAACTCACACGCAATCAGCATGCTTTCAAGCACTGAGTTCCAGGGTGGTGGTGAGGTCCAGCGCCCCTCAGCCCCAGCACTAACCCACTTCTCTCCACAAAAACACACAAGATGGACAACCTTCATATAAACCACACATGCCCAAGAGAGGCAGAAACTAGGATTATGCAAACCAGCCTACCACCTGCTGTAAGTCAGTGCCCTTTCCTCCCAGTGCAGAGAGAACAAAGGAGTTGGTGTGGAAAAGACCTGCTCTGATGAGGGGAAGACTTGAGGAATATTTGTAGCCTTCAGTTCTTCTAACAGCACT